AGGAAAAAGACAGGCTAATGTCAAGTCTTGATAATTAAATATAAAAAAAATTCTGAGTGAATTTGGTTTTATAGACACTTTCAAGTAGATCAAAATACATCACCAAAACAAACAAATCATAATATTTCTGGAAGGAGTATTTCCTTATTAAAATGTAAAAATTTCATAATATAGATAAGAATTATCTGTAAATATTAATAAATACTTGTATCTATATTTATTCGAACAACTAAATTTATATTTGTAAAACATATATGCTTCCACTACAGACAAAGCAAGAGGCCCAAGTGGGGTTTAGTTTGCTCACCTGGCTGATAACTGCCAATTAGCCAAATGCAAAAGTGCCTAACCAAGAAATCTTGGTTAGAAGGATGCTTTCTGTTGAAATTCCTTTCCATTCTCTTAACTGCATATATTATAAAAACAACTGTTTGAAGGTTTATCTAGTTTCCCTATCTTTACTGATATGTGACTTCACATCAGCCTCATTTGTCCAACATTAAAAAGCCACAAGGCTTGTCATACTTGAAGTATGATTTGTATAAATTTGAAAGGTTAAACTAGGACACTAATTTTTATGTTAACTCTGTTAACCCTTTCATCACTAAGTAACTTTGTAGGCATAGAGTCCTCAACACTAAGTAACTTTGGAGTTGTAAAGTAAAATGACTTGTGGACTTTGAAACAACATAACTTTGCCAATGTTAAACATATCTGCCTGGATTAGGTGTCAAAATCAAGGTTAAAAAAAAATTTATGACTAATTTAATAAAATGTGCATATCTATTACAACTGTAAAAATGCAGGTACAAACAGGTAACACAACAGGTAAAATACAAGTAATTATTTTATTACCTCTTAGAAAACTTTAAAAGTTCTCAAAACTTGTTCAACTGACCCTAGATGTACTAGTGAATAATCACAGTAGCAACACAAGTCTTTCTTTCATGGTGTCCATAATATATAAGATTCTATAAAATGAACCAAAATGATCTCCAAGGTGAGATCTGTCCACACACCTATATCGCCTCTGAAACGTTTGATCGTCACATTGAAGTTTGTTAAACGGACAATTTTTCCAAAAACTTCATCTGAATAGAATATTTGAAAATATTCTGAAGCTTTCCTGGAGCCATCTAACACTCGGGAGTGCCCAACTCTGTCAGAAAACTGCAACAAATCTCTTTGGTTTTCCGGCTTCGTCCAGACAAAACCATGTGGAGCTACAATTCCTCTGGTTCAAAACCTTCAAAGTCCTCTTCATCATCATCACTGTCCCCCACAAGTGTATTCCATTGTCTCTCCATATGTCTTCTCTCATTCAGATTCTCCGATAACTCCCCATTGAAGTTTTTTCAAACGCCGCCATTTTGAATACAAATTTCAACATTCGGAAAACACGTTAAAAGTTCCTACTTTGTTCGATATTTCTAGTTGTATACAAGTTAAATTCATGAGATCATCCAAATATAACATCTACATTACAAGATGGAAGTTATTAGAGGTACCGTGAAAGTTATTTAGTTGGGTTCTATAACATTAAAGAAGAACACTGCCCCAGACTGATAAGTCGGTCCATAGTGTTTACGGACTTACTTCCCCCTGACCAATTTTACAGTCGGACTGATGAAAGGGTTAAGGAGTTTTGTGATGATTAATAGTAACTCTTTTAAGGATTTCTGTGATGATTAATCCACCTGTGAGAAATCTGAGATAAATGAGTAAGATATATGTGCTCAATCAAATGAGTAAGATATAATATGTATAATATATGCTCAATCAAATGAGTAAAATATAAAATGTACTCAATCAAATGAGTAAGATATATGTATAATATGTGCTCAATCAAATGAGTAAAATATAAAATGTACCTAATCAAATGAGTAAAATATAATATGTACTCAATCAAGTGAGTAAAATATAATATGTAGTCAATCAAATGAGTAAGATATAATATGTACTCAATCAAATGAGTAAGATATAATATTTATTCAATCAAGAGTTAATTTTGTTTATTACATCTATAAAATATGAGTACAAGTTTTGGACAAAAATCTACCTTTAACTTTTTAAATCTTCCAACAAAAATATTTTACAATTTTCTAGCATATGACCTGCAATGTGATTTGTAAGCTTCACATTTGGTCTATGCTGTTTTACTACTGTCAGATCTAATCAACTGAACCCAATCAGTGTGTGTGTGTGTGTGTGTGTGACAGAGAGAGAAAAAGAGAGAGAGAGAGAGAGTTGTTGATGTAGGGTTTATTGCCATTTCTCAGCACAAGATAGGCTATACATGGCAGCCAGTATAAATGGTGGAGGAAGAATCTGGGAAAATACCAGAAAGAACTACTGACCCACGAAAAGCTACTGGCAAGCATTCTCACATACCCACATTGGTCAAGTGAGACTTGAACCCACACAGACAGAGATGAGATGGCAGTGATTCGTAATAGTGATCGATTTAGACCACACGGCCCCACATGGCCCCGTGTGTGTGAGTGTATGTGTGTGAGAGAGAGAGAGTGTGAGAGAGACCATGTGTGTACACATGTACATTTAATAGAAATAAAAAGTAAGTTTTGATACAAACATATGGACATATGGTGTGATAAAATCACAAACATGAATGAAAAGTTTGGTTTGGTTTGGTTTTATGGTGTTCAATGCCATTTTTCATCATGTGATTGGCTGTAGATAGCAGCCAGTATATTTTGGTATATTAAGAACCTTGGAAGGCCATGGGAAGAACCACCAACTGAAAGGAAACTACTCTCAAGTTTTCCTGCATATTAATGTTGGTTAAGCCCAGAATCAAACTCACAGAATAGAAATGTGTGAGTGATCATAAAGGTGAGTGCCTAAGACAATATAGCTACCTGTGACCCCTAATGAATGAATAGCAATTATACCTTAATTTACAAATTCATAGCACCAATGGTCATTTAAAAAAAAATGTCACAAGCTGTAAGGATGTATGACAATACAAGATAACCATGTAAAATGATTTCTTCTATTCTGCATCAATCTTATTGACAGATTTTATAAAAGGGCTAAAGTCACTATGACTTTCCATTTAGGAATAAATGGACTTAGAAGATGACTTAGATGGAACACAAGAAGCTTTCTGGCACAAATGTGATACTGATGTGACTTTCCATCTAGGATAACTAGCTACATGATCTTCAAGATGGTCATTGTGGTGGACGTACTGGGCATCAGATCAACACAATTTTTATTTAAAACCAACTAGACACCATGTTTTTTGGAAGGCAACATTTTTTTTGGGACCAACTAAAAATCACAAAAAGCATTCTGATGAAAACCCCATGACAACATGTCTTTCTGTACAGGAGGAGTAGCAATGTAAAGATTTTCAAGCTGACTTCCTTGGTGGCAATATTGGCTGTCAAATTGGCACCATTTTTATTTAGAACCATCTAGATATTCTAAGAAGTCTTGCAGTGAAACCCCATATATCAGGATTTTCAAGATGGCCAATATGGTGGGACTAGATGAACAGGAAATCTTTTTAGATGATGGCAGCAGTATTTACAAATTTTCATAGTAATCCTAGTGAAAATGAGCAAATGAGTTTACGTCATACACTACAAAAAGGGCAATAACTCTAACAAAAATTGCTGACAGTGAGTTGATTGTGATGACCATAATATTTGCCAAGATTCATAGCAATTCATCAAAAACCATGGAATTAGCTGAGCCAACATGTTCTGAACAGATGGATGGATGGAAGGATGAAAATATTTCTATATACTCCTTCCTCTAAGTTGGGGTATAGCCTTCACTTTTTGAACTCTACCTTAAGGACATTCCTTATTGATTAAGGGAGTGGCAACTCCTCTCTTTGTATCTACATTACTGCAGGAGGTCAACTGCATTCAAACAGCAACTTATGCAAGTTGTCAAATTTTGTTGTGGTCACAATGAAATAATGTACTGATACACTTGCAACAAAAATGTATGCAAGTATAGTTTGTAAATACAGCACATTGAAATTATTCTCACCTATTGTAAAAACAGCCATCTGAAGAATGACTCCCAGTGATCTTGACCTTTTACATTCAACTCTCAGTCATAACATTGATGCAATGTTTTCAAAGATATTCCATGTAAAAACTTTGATTAAAAAATGAGTTAAAAACCTGACTGATTTTGGAGAGCCAAAACCTCATTTCAGTGACCTTGATATCTGACCCCAAAAAAAACAAAGGGTTCTCATCTTTTAATCCCAAATCACTATGAATTATGAGATGAAATGTATGTTGGAAAAAGGAGATATTCAGAACAAGCAAAAGAACAATTTGTAATTTGAGACCTTGACCTTTGACACCATCAACAGGAAGTATACTGGAGCAGTTCAACTTGGATGTTTCAAAAATAATTGTTGTAAACAACTCAACCTATTAAGAACAAATAAAAAATTACAGTGCCAACTCCAACAATCAAAACTTTTTTAAAGTTCAGTTCCACACTGATTGTTGTTGTTGTTGTTGGTTGGGCTTAACGCCATTTTTCAGCACACGATAGGCTATTCATGGCAACCAGTATTATTGGTGGAGGAAGAAACTGGGAAATCACCGGAAAGAACCACCGACCCACGAGAAGCTACTGGCAAGCTTTCTCACATATCCACATTCGCCGAATCCTAGACTCGAACCCACGCAGACAGAGGTGAGATGGCAGTGATCCGTAATGGACAGCGCTTTAGACCACTCGGCCACTTTAGACCACTCGGCCACTCGGGGCCCCTCCACACTGATTGAACAATGTACTTACCAAAAGCCATAAAAACTGTGTATCAACATTGATTTATTATTATTCATAAACAAAGGAATATAAAAACAAATCCAGCAACCTTGACCTTTTATGTTTTGATGCCATAAGTCAAAACAGTTCTGCCTATAGCCACTGCAATCAATTTAAGAAGTGTCAAAAAATAATGCTACTTGAAACCCAATTCATTGTACCAAAACCAAAACGGTGGCCTAGTGGTTAGAGCATCTGCCTCAGATGCAGGAGGTCATGGGTTCGATCTCTGGTAAATTTTTACCAAAGACTTACAAAAATGGTACTAACAGCTGCTTCGCTTGACGCTCAACATAAATGCTAGACATCACTATAAACTGCTACACTGCAGACATAGTAGTGATAGGACTGAAAAATTGTTAAAGCTACATTAAAAATGATAAACACCACCACACCAAACCAAATTTTCAATTTCAGCTCAAGTGACCTAGCCCTGTGAACCCCAATACCAGTATAGGGTTTACCTTTAAGGACTTATTGTATGGCAACATGGGAACCAGTCTGGATTAGGTGAAGATAATATAAAGTATATATGGGCTTGGCCAGCCAGGAGGGGTTCATAATGAAAGTTAGACTTTAGTAAAAATTCTTTTGAGGGCTTATCCTGTTTTTAATTAACAAATTTAGACATTGTTTTATGGATGGAATTTTAGTCCTTTGACCTGAGTTTGGAATGCTTAATACTGAAATTAGCACCTGACTCCTTGGTGCAGAATTGAAAGCACAATATAAATCCAGAAAATGCAGTGGCTCATATGGTTTTCTCAACATCTAAGCTGTCATCCAGGATGCATTGATAATGATAAATATAGGTCTGTTTATGAGCACTCAGAAATTTATAGTTACTGAATTGTTAATATCATGGTGTTTGCAAAGGTTTACTATGAGAACTAATTAGTACCTTGAGTCCTTAAAGTTTAATAACAACTTGGTGCAAGAAACTTGATTCATTAACCACAATCCAACCCACAGATTGACTGGGATCTTTCTCTACCTAAGAGTAGACCACCTATGAAGCTAGACAGATTGCATCTAACTCAAAGCAATAAGCAGAGTTTACTGTCTACTGATGATGAATATGCATAAAGAATGACACAAAAACATCCCTATTCCTACATCCCACCCACCCCCACATGACATTTTGATTGAGAGATAAAATATACATTTGTGCTTGAGCCAGCTAGAGCTATTAATAGTTCTCTCTACTTCTGTGCTATAATTTATAGTCCAAAATACTGACCAATGAACAAGAAAAAAACCTGGCAAAGTGTGCAGGAAAGAAATATGACACAGATACAATTGAAAGTACATGTTTGGTGTAAGGATAGTACTCCTTAAACAGTACACTGTATGCTAGCCATGTTAAACTCTCTTTCATTGGTCAAAAGCTTGCCTTTTCCAGTCCAAAATCAATGGGTGTCTTCCTTTTCTTTAATGCAAGCAATCCATAAAATTTGGTTGAGGTAAAAGACACAAAACTAAAATTATTTTGTGGAAATGTTTTTTCCAAAATTGTCAGGTGACTTTCTCATCTCAAATGGAACTATCCACAAAATTTTCTGGTAATGGTTTGTGGCACAAGACTTGAGCTATTTTGAAGAAACCATTTTTGTTCTTGGCATTTCTCTGACTGACCTTTTAACTCAAAAATCAATAGATGCCTTCCTTGACTTGGATGAAAGCCAATGTTTGTCATGTGTCTAGTCAAGTCCTTGACTTGAATGCAAACCAATGACAAAGTCTAGTCAAGTCCTCAGCTTGAATGCAAGTCATTGACCAAGTTTAAACAAGGCACAGGATACAGAATATGTTTGGTTTTGGAAATCATTTTCCTCCATCAGTTCCTCTAACCTTGACCTTTTTGACAACAAAATGATTAAGTGTCTTAAGTGCCTGAAAAGCTAGCCATTTGAAACAGCTGGTCAAAATAGGTGATAAATAACTCAATTTATCCTGTAGAAGCCATTTTTCTTTTCTAGAGTTACTTTTCTAGAGTAACTGTGACCTATATAACTTTTGACCCAAATAACAACAGTCCTCTTGTCTCACACATGTGTCATTTACAAGTTTGGTTGAGGTACACAGTACACAAAAATCAAATCATATTGTGGAAAGAGTCTGCCTTCTTTCAGTCAATGTGACTTGAATTTTTGAGCCCTAAATGTAAGCTACTTCAAATGTTTGGTGATGATGCCGGACTTAGAAGGCCATGTCAATGGATGGATATCACAATATGATGCATTACATATTATCACAGCTGTTTAAAAGAATTAAATGCACTAGTTCAGCAGTTCAAGTTTTGATACAACTGACTTTCAATTTCTGCATGTAGGTTATACCTAATTCAGTATAAGTTTTTACAACACAGCCAAATTGAAAAAAAAAATGTTTTGGGGTCAAAAGAAATAGATTGGCTTTAAAAGATATATATTTACATTAACAATATGAGAACTCTCCCCCACTAACATTTATAATTGCTTATAAAGTCCAACTGTAAAATACACAGACCCGGATCTACATACAATTCCCACAGATCTGGGTCTGTGCAATCTGTTAAGAGCAATCAGTAGTACAAACAACACAGACCCTGATTTGCTATGACAGACCAAGATCTTTGTTGTTTGCAATATGAATTAACTTACCCAAATTTTGTGAAAAGTTGAGGAAGGATGAGTCAGAGGAGAATCTTACATTACCATTTAATACAGGTCTAGACTTTGTAGCTAGACTGGTCCTGCTGACTCTTCACTAAGATCAATGACTGGTTACAAGTGAAATTGTACTAGTCACCAGACTACTGATATTATGAAAATACTAGTATGACTTGAAATTAACTAGTTCTGGCTTCCTGACCAGCACTAATTTTTAGGCACAATAAAAGAATAAAAAAGAACATATAATAAGACAAGAAGCCTCTGCAGTGACAAATATAAAGTGTGAGCATGCATTTCATTTTTAGAACAATGCATTTCCTGTATTTAGTTGATTTTATAAAGTGTCTCCCAGTAAATGATGATATTTTTAAGAGAGACAGCTCCACCTCCTAATTAGCATAAAAATTCTTGTTAAAAAAAAGAATCAGTCTTTGTTATGACAAAACTGACATTAAAAATACCACAAAAGTCTAAGTACATGCCAAGAATTTCATTAAAATTGGACGAAACTGTCTGAAGATAAGACAATTTGAATCTCTCTCTAAGTCACAATGTGGCAAACTTGAATGTGTCAGAACTGCTAAAGCAAGCCATCAAGGAGTTGTTAGGTATGTAAATCTCAAAATCTACCCAACCACAGCAGTGGTCAGTAGGCCATTGTTATCAGATATCAGAATATGTTTCACTGACAGGTTGGCAGAGTAGGTGATCAATCAACTTGGGTAGAGCTGCAGATTCACATTTCAATTTATGTAAATTAGTAAAGGCTCCAGGAAAACACTATATCTGACATGTGGACAGCAGTATGATGTTTGCTATATATCATACACAAACTTGAACACAAGTCTTAAGTGTTGATGCAGAAACTAAGGCTAGCTAAAGGATAAATGTCATACTAGCTGAAGCTACTACAGGTAACTATGTACTTACTAATAAGTTCCAAACTGCAAGAAACAAAGATCCTGATCTGCCATTTTATGATGAACCTGCAGATCTGGGTCTATGCTGTTTATTGTACTGATTACTTTGAACAAACTGCAACAGACACTCATCTGCCAGCACATTATGCAATGGCAGATCTGGGTTTGTGCTGTTTGCAGTTGGACACATCAGCAAAGTTAATATGGTACAAACTCGCAGAAACAGTAACAATAATAATAATAATAATAATAATAATAATAATAATAATAATAATAATAATAATAATAATAATAATAACAATAACATTATTATTATTATTATTATTATTATTATTATTATTATTATTATTATTATTATTATTATTATTATTATTATTATTGACCGTTATGGATCACTGCCATCTCACCTCTGTCTGCGTGAGTTGAGTCCAGACTCAGCTAAGGTGGGTAAGTGAGAAAGCCTGCCAGTAGCTTATCGTGGGTCGGTGGTTCTTCCCTGTGTTTTCCAGGGTTCTTCCTCCACCATTAATACTGGCCGCCATGTATAGCCTATCTTGTGCTGAAAAATGGCGTTAAACTCAAATCAACAACATTATTATTATTATTATTATTATTATTATTATTATTATTATTATTATTATTATTATTATTATTGTTATACATTTATTAACTTTATTTAAAGAAGGTAATTCAATTAGTTATCTTGAGGCCCTCTATATGTTATGTACAATATATACAGTATCTGAGAGATCCATTCTCACTAATGCAGATGGATTAATGTCTGTGCATTTTATGTTGAATTTTAAATAAACACATACTGGTAACATTTCATTTACAATTAAGACATCTTGGAGAATGTGTTGTTGTACCTCATCTCATCATTGCATAGATACAATAATATGAAGGCAACATGTGACAATCTTACAAAAATTGTTAAGTATTCTTCATTTACAGTGTGCTTTCAATCTGCATGGTGCATTATGCATGTCAGACTATATACAAATGCACTATACATAACAAATGTTGATACAACTATATGCTATTATTTATAATTCATACACTATTTGCAGCACTGTTGTAATTCTTCATGCGTAATCATAATAGGATTTTAGTGGGAGAGTTTTAAAACTTTAAAACCTCCTTAATTTGGTGTTGTTAGCTAGTGAATGATCTCCCACAGTGTTATTTCCCAGTATGGATGGATAAATGGAATGTTACAAATAGCTGAGCAAATTATTGAAAGAAATAAATAACAAGACCCTTTTTAATAAATAAAAATACAAAATTTTAATAAAAAAACATAAAATCAACAGAAAATCACTTCCATTCAACAGATTTACAAATTTAAATGCACTCAATTAATGTATAACCAAAATTCACTTTCCAACAATTAATGCATAGCCAAATTTCACTTTACAGTGACAGAATTTAGTCATATTATTAGTGTTAAATTTTGAGTGCAATTCCCACCTTAGGCAGCATGACCTGATGTCTCCTCTCACTCAACTTCTTTCCTAGTCTTAATGAATTCGTGTGCATTGATCCCCTGTTCGACCCTTGACTATTCTGATTCACTAGGTTACTTGACTTATCCCTGCTTCTTCTTCTCTCTCTCTCTCTTTATTGAGTATGAAATTGCTTCCTTAATATGGGTTTTTTCCCTTTCACATGA